GAGGTGGCCACATGAACTGTTGACGCGTACTTCTCTACGCGTTCATATGCCTCAAATTCGATGGTTTCGCGTCATTGAACGTGGCCACCTTAAGCGCGGATACGCGAATTGGCTAAAGATTTCCTAGATCGTAGATGCAAATTCAGTTTATTTTGTCTGCTACGCTGCAGAGAAACGGTCTTTTCAAGATTCAAACGTAACCCACATTTCATGAAAACCTGCTAGTGCATCAGTACCCCCTCTCCTTCCCTCTCATGAATTCGTGCTAACCCATCGGCACCCTGTCTCCTACCTTTCTTGCGGAAACCTGCTGACCCATCGGTACCCTCCTCTCATTCACTCTTGTCATCATAAACCATTATATATCAGGAACCTCTATAAAAGTGAAGTTCGTCACATTAAATAGCTTATACGAATAGAAATCTGATAAAATTTGTTGTTGAGGCTACGAAAGAAAGCGTTCACCACAGCTGCTTTGCCAACACTTTATTCAAATTTTCAGCACTGTACTGTGTGATTTCACTTCTTCTAGGTTTCATTATTCTATTATTTTCTTTTTCTCTTTGTATATTTCTCTTTCTTTTCTTCCGTTTCTACTTCTTCTTTCGTTTTTTTTGCCATGTTGATTTATTTTGCTAGCTGGAAAATTTCGTCGTGTTTGTCTACTCTATCCTTTTTTTCAAATCTGCTTTCTAGTCATATTATGAAAGTAATGATCCGTGGCAATCAAGGGATGCACCTGCTCGTCGAAGTTAAAAGAGATTGAAACGACCAGTATACAACGAGATATATAAAGAAGACGAAATCCTTGAGCAAGCAATGAAAGTGGGGAGACGAATCGACTGCTAGAGGCACAGAAGTCCGCACATTAAAATAAGGGTACGGTTGCATGAATTCCGGTTTTCAACCCTTCGGAAGCGAAACCATTTCTGCCTTTTCAGACTTTTATTAGTCAAACGATAGCTTAAATTTCGGCGATTCCAAAGCTGCACTTGTTTCTTTAAAACGGCTTTTTATTGCGGTGAGCAGCGAAAATCGAATTAAGCTTCTTACTCGGCGCACGTTCTCGGCAGTATTCTCGTTATTCATTTAAAAATTTATTCGCTCTGTAGGCTTAGACTTCCAGTTTATATTTTATATTGTCAAATAAGCCCGCTTCTTAGCCTAAGCATAGGTAGCCTAATCCTAGGAGTGTGACACGTAATCCACTTTTTTTGCATTTTCAGTGCTCTGTGAAGACCTTTCCAAAAACCATGCTCGGCTTCGGAATCAACTGGATTTATGTCATCAAATAATTACTCAAAATCTGTTGAAGCACCATCTACAAACGGCTACTTACGCTTAGGCTAAGAAGCGGGTTTATTTGACGATATAAAATAAAAACTGGAAGTCTAAGCCTAGGAGTGTGACACGTAATCCACCTTTTTGCATTTTCAGTGCTCTGTGAAGACCTTTCCAAAAACCATGCTCGGCTTCGGAATCAACTGGATTTATGTCATCAAATAATTACTCAAAATCTGTTGAAACACCATCTACAAACGGCTACTTACGCTTAGGCTAAGAAGCGGGTTTATTTGACGATATAAAATAAAAACTGGAAGTCTAAGCCTAGGAGTGTGACACGTAATCCACCTTTTTGCATTTTCAGTGCTCTGTGAAGACCTTTCCAAAAACCATGCTTAGCTTCAGGATTAACTGGATTTATGTCATCAAATAATTATTCAGAGTCTGTTGAAGCACCATCTACAAACTCTGGTCGCCTCTGTGGCGTCATGTTGCTAACATGCTGCTTCGGCTGCTTCCTGAGGATATCGTCTTTATCGTAGAACACTGGGCAAGAAGATTCTCGTTACAGTTTTGGAGGCAGCAAGGCTAAGGCGCTCTCGATGATGATAGCAACAAAGTATCGGTCCATAAATGGTTAACTGCTCTTATAGCAGTGGTATAACTTCATGATTATGTATTCAACGAAATGCAGTGTTATGCAAAATTTGTGACCCCAAGCGAGAGTTAAAACCGGCGAAAAAGGAGGGCTGGCAAAACAATCGCTCCGGTCGCACAGAGGTAGCATGCGCCCCCGGTATGGGTAATAACTCGGGTTCAACTTCTGCATAGTGTTGTATGTTCTGCAAAACGGCATTCTTGGATAAATGGTGATGCTCTAAGCATATCCAAGTGAATTTGCTGGAGCTTTTGTTCTCAATGTGATTTACAATAAGCAATCTTACATGAAGAATTGTTCGCTCCTATTTCATTGCCTGAACGTAGCAATTGATAAGTTTAGTGTTCAAACACAGAGACATATAGGACAGCGTAAAAAGAGAATTGTCGGTCTCAATGGGGTCGATGCATAGAAACGCATAGACAAACCTTATCTGCCTTTCTAGTTAACCCTTTATGGACCGCTTTCGAAAGGTAGCGGCGTCGCGTTGGTCGCTCACGCAGCAGGTGCAGGAAGAGAGCATCTGCACATCGATTGCCTATGCAGATGTTGCATGCTTTGTCCCGAGACGCTGCGCCGCCGTTACAGTACCTGTGTGAGACGCGACGCCGCGTGGCGTGCTACGCTTCCTAGCACGTGGTCTCCAGAGTATTATATTACACAAGAGTATGAGATACATTTCACTAAAATCCCTAGGATTCTCCTAAACATTAGATATGACGATTTTTCACATCCCCTTCGAAACGATGTATACCTTTGAGGCACACAAATTTCTGGAGGCCTTTACCGGTAAACAGTGCTTTTCCTCTAAACTTTTTATAATCGTTTGAAGAATGAATCTCGACAAATTGAACACTATACTTGATTTTTAAGAACTTTTTTGATTCTGTAGCAGCAAAAATGAGATTATGTTTAACGCTCGGCTCGCTTTATTGTTCGGCCAGAATCTGTAGATGACTCTTCGTTTGACTTTTTGCAGTCATTCAATATTTCTAATCTAATTTTGAAGTTAGTGTTAATTATTGAAAAGGTTCTAATAGTGTACCGTGAGAACAGGGAAAAAAAGAAGATTACGTTTTTCATAGGCAAAGTAGTTAGCCCGTCGTTTGAACTTCATAGGGAGTTCTTCATAATTTCACAGTGGCTATTTGAAGCAAAAAGGAAAGCCACTATCTATAGAAGAGTAGAGGAAAGCTGTTCCTACATTTCTAGCACGGGAAACGTGGAACTTTTCTCAAAACGAAGATAAAACTTAGCATGAATTAAGGAAAGTCGCGTTGAAGTCGCCGCGCGCAGCACGATTAGGGTGACACACGATTTTTGTTATTCATTCAAAAATTATTTCCTCCTTTTCGAAAAGATTGCTAGATTTTGCGAATTCGACTTATCTCACCTGCTGCAATGCAGAAAAACGTGTTTACAGCCAGAAGTGGGAAATAGGTATGATTTTGGCATCGATCGACTGCGTACGTTCTTGTGAACATTTTGGTTTACAACTTGCCTATCATCCCCATAAGATAAAGCTGTCGTTGGAACAAATTCGCTCGCTACTCATACACGAGTGGCGCGTAGGGGAAAATGCCAATGAAACGGCGCGAAAATCAATGGAGCTTTCTGCGGAAAGCACAAGTGCGACTGATTTTCCATACCGTTCTCTTCAGCTTTGAACTTTGGACAACCACTTTCTAGCTAGTCTTACCGTGACCGTGTCATCGCCTCAAACTCCATTAATCTTGCGCACCGCTTCTCCAGGATTTTCCCCCACCCGCGATTCGTGCACGGGTAGCAGGGAGATTTCTTCTTGCAACAGCTTCATTTTCAGGGAAACATAAGCAAATTGCATACCAAAATGTCCGCAAAAAAATGTGCAGTAGAACGACATCAAATCATGCGATTTGATCCATTTCTAGCTGATGAATCTGGTGTTTGCTTTGATGACTAAACTTCTTGAACATCTAATAAAATCAGATTTTACGCTCGAAGCGCATTTTCAACTCGGCTAGGATTTGCGAATGGCCCGTTAACGCTTTCAGTGGATATTTGACAGCATGAATTTGAGCGATTGTGAAATTGACGTTGCCTTTTGAAAATGCTTTTCACGATGTAAGATGAAACATCTATCCACTATTCGCATTTATTGGCATAAACTATGCAATTTACCTATGAATTAGATTTACTGAAATAGTGAACTTTGGATCTATGAGCATTTTACAATGGATTTTTAGATTTTCCCATCCAGTTTTGAAGAGGAACAAAAGCCGATTGATACAAAACCACTAATATGAGCAAAGCCAGGTTGACACATATGTAACTACAAAACAGAAGAACTTACAGCGATTAGACGGTAGTTTGACACGTTTTTGTCTAAAGAGCGTACGCGTGACTACTGAGTAAATTCATTTGGCACGATTTATATTTTAACAAACTTTTTGATTTGATTCGGCGATACTAAATGAAAGCGAGAGCCTAAGCCTGCAAAACGATGGAAAGTAAGTATCTTTCAAAATTTCAAGGCAAAAGAGCTGAACTTCTTATGAGGCAGAGGAACATTTTCAGATAATTAACGAAGATGGGCACTAGCATTAAATAAATCGATATTCAAGCTGTTGAATAACTACTCAAAGTCTGGAAAACGAGGAAAAGGTTTTACCGCAAATGGACCGAAAAATGGATTGAGATAAAGGAAAAGTATCAAAGCGGCTCAATAGTGGCTTCAGTGGTTTATTTCGTAAAGCTGACAGTGTCGTCAAACGCACAGTGGTCAGGCGGTCACCGGATGCGGTAGCGATTTTTTGATCACATGGTGATCAGATCAACCAAAAAAAAACTACCGCAGTGGACCACCTCACCCTGAAAATATCATTTTGCTCGTCAAGAATTACCGAAAAAATGTCATATTTGGCTAGCCTTAACTCACGGTCCACCAAATTGCTAACCTTGGCTCCGTCCGTATCTTCATGCATAATGAACTCAAAACCAGATACGAAAAAGTCCAACATATAATTGACCACTGTACTCGAAAGATAAGTACTGACGAAACAGTGGGAGCAGAACACAGGCTCCGGTAGTGCAGTGATTACCACTCAACCCTGGAAGGGGTGAGACGTGGGTTGAACTCCCGCCCGGAGTACCCAGACTTCTGCTTACTCCTCAACATTATGCATTATATACAGGGTGTGTAAGAAGTACATCTCGACTCGGTTTTTACTGAGATTTTCGTTATGAAATAACATGATTTTGGTGTTGTTCAATTGCGCATTTTCCTGCAAACATTTCGGCATGCACTTTGCCCATATTTGCTATAAGATGGAGCCGTCGTGGGAACGAGTTTGCTTGTTACTCATGCATTAATGGTGCGTGGGGAAAAAGCTAGTGAAAGACAAGCGAAAACAATGGATCTTCCTGTGGACATATCGAGGACGACCGATAGTTCAGACTGCTCCTTTCAGCTTCGAACTCTATGAAACAGTTCCTAGCTGTGTTTTCTGCGCACGCATGGGGTTGGAGACTAAGAGACTGTGGTTTCGGTCCAAAAAGGTTGAAACAGTTACATTGTGAACATGAGAGCGTGCCGTTTCAGTTCTATTCTGACAAGTCCGAAACATGAGATTGCTCTTGCAAATATTCACTTTAATTTGTAATCTGCACTTGATTTAGTATTAATTTAGAGCATATAGTAACCTCATGTTTGCCTTATAAAGGAAAACCCCCTGAACTAGTGAAGAATGCCGAGGATCATAAATAGCCTCAGTCTGGGGCATCTTCTTCTTTTTGACTTATTAAACCCGTATATTCTGCAGGAAACCCTCTAATTCGTGTTTGACGCTCCGTAGACTACAGGATATTAGGGATTCAAGTGGTATCCATTGATTTTTTGGTCTAGTTTGGAAATTTGTGATGAGACCAGGGGTCAGATAATCATAAAATTGTGGCTGCCAAAGAACACAGAGTAATCGCACTCACAAGTACTTCTACCCCTATAAAAGTAACTCTCATCGCGTATTCGCAGTAATAAGTAGTGCTGTAGCACAGCTAAATTCCAGCGGTTGTCAATTTTACTAACATTGAACATTGCTGTAATGGCCCAGGAGTATTGCGCTCCCTTTGGTAAGGACGAGACGCGGGTTCGACTCCATGTCGGGTCGGAATTTTTGCATGTCACTCAATATACTTTGAAATGCGCTTGTGACATCAGAGTATTGCTGAAAAGCAGTAAAAATATAGAGTGTGAATAGATTAAACATTACATGTAGTTTCTTCAAAAGCCCACTTTCTTCCAACCTCGCGAATTTTGATCAGCAATAGTTTTCTTTATAATTGAGCTAGCTACCAAGAAATGAATCAATGTAAGCTGATTTGGCTCTGAAACGAGGTCACCGTCTTCTTCAGAGCCAGCTGTGAATCAAGTCGATTGAATCGCGATCAATCAAAGCAATCGATTCGAATCGAATCATCGTTAGCTCCGAGGAACACAAAGCCGTCGGAGACATTCAATCCGAATAAATTTTATTTGAAAACAGTTAGGTAGCAATCCTAATCACAAAAGAAACTATAAATTACTTGACACTAAAGGAGGGTTCGTGGGGCGCCCTGGCTGAGTGGTTGTGACGGTCGTCGTGGTGCGAACGCAGCCGAGCTCTACCCTCCCTCCCCCAAACTCCTTCCGGCTCCTTGCTTGTGCCTCATCTCTCTGTTTTCAGCTATGAGTCGCTTTTGAGGGATCAAAAGCTGCGATGCTCTCAATTGTTCCGTCGGTCCAGGTCTCTCCGATCCGGCAGAAAGACTCATTTGCACTTGAACCCGGCGATACTTGCGTCTCATCAGCAACCATTTTTGCTCTCACGACAATTCCATCTCAAAACAAATGTGTAAGCTCAAATCTCTTCGTCACACGAGTCCTTCAGACGTCCTGACCAAGGTCAGCCACGCATAAGAGCTATTTGTATCCTGACAAACAAACTTTTTCGCAAAATTATGGACTAACGAGTGTTGAAAATAGTTGTTATTGTGATTGTCTTGGAAAGATTAGTAAAATCTCAGATAGATCCTTCTCTTATTATTTGAGCCAACTTGTCATGTGGCCTGTCATAGGCTGTTGTACAGCCCGATACATGTGTTTCGTCCTTACAGACTCGTCAGTCGAGCAGAACCCGTCGTCTTTCGATTTTTTATAGTCAGTTCTCTCGAGAGCGCTACAGTGCCTAAAAAGAGTTATCGAAGACAAACGTTTTACCCTTTATATCAAGTGAAATTTTCACCTAACACGGAGAGTTGCACACTCGATTGCTCTTTGGCTGGTATTTTTATCATATTATACCTTTACTTCAAGTGTTTTGTTTAGACCACGCTCAAATTTTCAATAGATCCTTTTATTACTATTTGAGCCAACTTGTCATGTAGTCTGATAAGGGTGTACAGCCCGATACACGTGTTTCGTCTTTTTCATCTTCAGTCTTTACGGCATAAGTTTTCTATAGAAAATTCGTATTCCTTGCAACCTTCACAACCAACTTTTCACTTTAGCGATAGATGCTTCCATTTATATATATATATATATATATATATATATATCTATATACATATACGTATGTACATATGTATATATTGATCCCGGAGAGACAAACTGTCTATCAGAGCGCCTTTCAGGATATCCAAATAGACGATGGAGCTGATCGCGTTTCAAAAGCTGCCGCTGCAATGAAATGCGACTTGCTTACGATATCATTCCTATTTCGAGTCTCCAGTTGTGGAACACTGGATTACTTTAGCGCACGCATCTGCATTTTGAAATTTCTTTTAATGGTTGGAACAGACCAAGTTTTTGAATACACGTTTTCTGTATAGATCTAAATCCGCATACATTTTACCTTAACCAACCTCAGTGGTCATTGAGTGAATCCAAAGACTCGGCAACAACGTTTCAATTTCCCCACTCTAGTGTTGCAGAGTTCTTCATTGGGTCCAGCTTTTCCAAAATACTTGAAAAGCGTTATGATGCTCTTCAGAGGCCTCCATGTGATAGTATCGTCATCTGCGCGGTAGTCCTGTTGTTCACTTTGCTTGCAGTACCTAGTCGCTATATCTGGCCCATACTGGCATAGGTTTATTAGATCTCAGGACTACATCTTAGTGCTGTACACCCTTACCAGACTACATGACAAGTTGGTTCAAATAGTAATAAAAGGATCTATTGAAATTTGAGCGTGGGTCTTAACAAAACACTCGAAATAAAGGTATAATATGATAAAAATACCAGCCAAAGAGCAATCGAGTGTGCAACACTCCGTGTTAGGTGAAAATTTCACTTGACATAGAGTGTAAAATGTTTGTCTTCAATAACTCTTTATAGGGAGTGTAGGGCTCTCGAGAGAACTGACTATAAAAAATTGAAAGACGACGAGTTCTGCCCGACTGACGAGTCTGCAAGGAGGAAACACATGTATCGGGCTGTACAACAGCCTATGACAAGCCACATGACAAGTTGGCTCAAATAATAATAGAAGGATCTATCCAAGATTTTACTAATCTTTCCAATACAATCACAATAACAACTATTTTCTACATTCGTTAATCCACAATTTTGCGAAAAAGTTTATTTGTCAGGATGCAAATAGCTCTTATGCGTGACTGACCTTGGTCAGGACGTTTGAAAGACTCGTGTGACGAAGTGATTTGAGGAGGCCTGCAGAAAAGGTGGTCGATCAATCAATGGTCGATGGTTCTACTTCACACTCCAGACTTATCAGGCAACGTTGGTCGACCAGGTGTGTCGTAAAGCACCTCTAACCACTGCCCCACATGCGCTTGTTATGCTTAATCTGAACGCGGACTCGAAACATGCTAATTGGTGCATACTCTCAGCTCGGGTAACGTAGGCGGATTTGTGTCGTGATGTGTACTGTTTAGAGATTCTGTATTATGAAAGCTTTCCACAACTCAACGCTTGAAAAGGTGCGGATAAGAGTTGAAAAATAGAAACAATGGATACTTTTTTACTAGAGGGCTATGAATGCAAAACGTCTCATTCGCTGGACAAGTACTTTTCATAGCATTAGTAAGCATTTGAAAGCTAAAATCTGTGGCTAGAGCCCAATGCAGTCGGTCATCTAAAAAGCCTTTTTTTACCTTACTACATAATTAAAACCTTTGTGCTTCACACCCGCATTTTCCGTTCAGGACGGAGCTCTTTCCGTGGACTATCAGTAATCATTCGATAGCGTAATGTCTGCTATGTGCTTATTTTCTTGGAAGACCGTTTCCCTTCAGTCCGGCATGAAAAACAAAACTCAATTCGCGTGCGCGAGAAAGTGGTCTCTGGCCTATTTACGGGTTGCTGGGTGAGCCGGCAAGGTTATCTAACGCGATGGTTGACAGATTTTATAGTATATGAACGTGTAGAGGAAACCTCGAAGGTAGTATCTGAATGTCTTCGGGTCACTCCTGTAAGCAAGTAGGACGTTCTGTATGCCCAGATTCCATCAAAGTGAGGATAATGATGGTCGATTTATCCGTGTTCACAGCAAAATAAAAGTAATTAAGGCTCTTTTTGTAGCAAAGTCATACATTCTATCTGGTATTCTTTTTTTTTAAAGCGAATCAACATTCCCTAATTAACTTACTAAGGCTGCACTTTCATATGACCGCACAAAATCGATCGACCATCGCCTCATCCCACTTTCCGCCATACAAAGCAGCCTGTGAATTGACCATGTCACACGTTCCCGTATGTGAACCTTTTCTTCGTGTTGTACTACAGAAAAACGGTCTTTCCAGGAAATAAGTACAGCGTTGAAATCAACAAATCTTTGGCTGTCAAATAATTATTAATAATCTACGAAAAAAAGCTTTGTACGGCAAGAAATATGTGCGTGTCAAGCATAATCCTATTCTAAACTTTACAGCATTATAAAGCGGTCTTTTCAAAAAAAGCCTGCGTAGAGCTGTAAGGATATTTAAGCTCTAGAATGATTGCTAATGATCCTATAAAAAGTTTCTGTCCAGCAAATGAGATCGCTTATTCATTTGTCGTTGTCTAGTAGGTTGGTGAAAAATTCTAAGAAAAGGTTTGTAACTTTTTGAGTGTCGGCCATTTTTTGCGTTGTCGGGCCTATTTGAAAGCCTGTCTTCTCG